GTGGATGTCCTGGGTTGCTGGTTCTGTCTTGTAAGCTGCTCTATGTCTTGGCTGCACCTGGGAGTTCTCTGGGAAATTCTCTCCAGCTGTGCCCTGGGAACGCCGGCCTTCCCTGTTCTTCTGGCATCTTCATGTGGCCAAAATCGCTCTGTCTTTTCACTCTGTCCATCTTAGGTGCCTCTGTGGTATCCTGTTGGTATTTACTCTATTTTTTTGCTTCTTTGCCTATGAACATTTGGGCTGCTCTAGTATTTTGGCAGAATGAGGATCTCTGCCACAAACATCCAAGTATGGGCCTGTGTGAGGAAGCAGTTTGTATGTCTAGGGTAAATACTTAGCAGTGAGAGCTTTAGAAGCTGCTGAACGTTTTCCAAAAGCCTGTAACTTTTTGGTTTCCATTAGTTTGCAAGGCAGTGGGCGCTGCATCTGTCAGCACTTGTAATTGTCAGCTTATGGTTAGCCGTCCTGCAAGTGATTATCCTTTCATGGTTTGACTTTGGAGTTCTCTATCGACCGCTGTACTGGGACACCTGTGTACTTTTGGTTTGCTCTCTGTCATCTATTTTTGGAAAGCATTTATTTAATTAAATTTAAATTAAAATTTATTAAAATTTAAAGATCTCACCTGTTTATGAAAACACAGTCTTTTGGTGTTACTGAAATGCAAAAATTATTTGTATAATCTAAATAAAAATCCCTTATTGGATTTATTTTTCAAGTATTTTCACCTATTCTTTAGCCTGGAATTAGCTTATTGTATTTTTCAAAAAATAAAGAACCTAATTTTTTTTTAATGAAATACTACTTTTTTTTTTTTCATTTTTTAAAATTTATTTTACTTGAAAGTCAAATTACAGAGAGAGAGTGGGGGTGGGAAGAGAGAAGTTCTCCATCTAGTGGTCCACTCCCCAAATGGCTAGAGATGGGCTAGTCCAAACCCAGGAACTGGGAGCTTTCTCCATGTCTCCAACATGGGTTTAGGGGTCTGAGGCTTGCAACATCTACTGCCCTCCCAGACCGTTTAGCAGGGAGCTGGATGGGAGATGAAGCAGTCATGATGAGGACTGGTGCTCATATGGGATGCTGAGGACCAGCCTGCAAAGCCATCACACTGGCCACCATTTTTTCTTTTAATATACATGTGGATTTCTTTTTCAAACCTGATTCAAGCCACAGGATTTCCCTTTAAAAGGCTTATGCTTTATACTTTACACTAAAGTTTGAGTGTTTCTCCGTGTCATTGCTCAGCAGGTTTTCTGCTCAGATAATGGAGGTTGGAGAAAAGAAACTGATCCCAGGTTTCCTATTTACATCCCCAAGAAAGCCTGGGCATTTCAAGTGAGTTTTTAGAATTCCAACCGTGGGAGAGTGCATTGTGGACTTGTACCTGCACATGGCAGGTGTGTCAGAGGGAGTGCCTTGTGGACCTGTGTCTGCACGTGGCTGAGTTGGAGATCTGGTGTTATCGTGGTAAGCTTTGCTTTCTGTGGACGGCCATGTACGATGCCTGGAGCAGTTCGCAGTGCTTCTTGTCAGAGGCGATGGACCTTCAGAACTCCCCTGCGCGTCACAGAGTCACTGATACATTCCCCTTTTCTTGGCTGTGACTCAGTTTCCAGTTCTTTGTACAGATGAAATCCCTCTGTGGTCAGTCTGACCACTGCTGTCTTAGCTAGAGTCCTTCTGTCTCTTTGACTCAGGAACTTTGAGATAAACTCTTATTCATTTGAAGCTCATCTGTGACTGAAAAGTATTGAGCCATTACTTAGCTTGCTGTGTGTTTGATGTAGCCAAGATCCCTTAGGGTAGGGAATTGGACCATTTGACTGCACTTTTGTCATATGTGATTCTCTAATAGGAGATCATGCTGGAGAACATTACCGTGGAGTTAGGGGACGAACACTGTGGAAGTTCCTTGTCTCACAGTTCCATAACTCAGCAGCCTCAAGTGGCTGCACTGGACTAAACCCAGTCTTGGCAGGGCCTTTCTCCTTGAAGGCCCTCGAGAGCTCCAGCCAGGTCCTGGAGGGACCGGAGACCTTGATGCTATCCCTGCGATGTTCTTCCACTCCCAAAGGCAGCAACATGTCCATTGTTCCCAGAGGCCGTCGCTCAGACCCCTGTCCTGTTTCCTTGGTGCACAGCATAGGGTCCTTGGGATTATATTGGTCACATCTAGAGAACTCAAGATCATCTGCCTCATTTAAGGTCCCTGATTAGTAATCTTCATTCCACCTGTCACCTTAAAGCCTTGCGTGTGTAAAGCACGGTCATAGGTACTAAGGATTTAGAGAAAGGTTGGTTTGTTTCTGTAGAGAGATGCTATCCTGCCTACCACCATGATTACAAAGAAACAAACCAAAGTAACTTGCCTGAGAATGTGGGTGTGTAGAGCAGAGGGCGGAGGAAGGTATGTGGTGTTGTGGCTTCTGTTCCCCAGCTGAAATGGCAACCTGGGGGGGCGGAGCTCTGGGTAGAGGTTGGAGAGCCAAGTGTGTTTGTTACTGGAACACAAGTTCAGAAAGCTGCACAGGGGCTGCTCTGGTGAGTGTGTGGGTGCAGCCACGGCTTGTCAGTCAAGCCCTGGCTGCTCTCTTTCCCACTGCTCCCTGCTAATGCATAAGAGGAAGTCAGCAGAAGATGTGCCATGTACTTGGCCTCTGCCATCCATATCGGAGACCCAGATGGAGTTCTAGGCTCCTGCCTTCCACCTAGCTCAGTCCCACTCATTGTGATCAACTGGGGACTGAACCAGTGGATGGAATATATCCTTCTGGATTTCTCCCTGTCATTCTGCCTTTCACATATAAATAAGTGAACAAATAAAATTAATGAATAAAGAGAACTGTAGAAAGAGAGTCCCAAGGTGCATGGATGAAGTGTGTGTCAGGACTGGCATCCAGCAGGTGTAGACCAGGGATGCTATTCAAGCCCTGCCAGGTGAAGAAGCTCCAACCAGTGTCCAACCCCAAGTTGTGAGCTCTGAGGCTGAGCACTCATATGGTCTCCAGATTTCACACTTCGGATTTATACAAGCAACTCTGTCCCCTCCTGCTTGCTGGCACTTCCATTACTCCCATAATACTTAATTAGGTTGTGTATTTACAGTAGTAGATTCAACAATGTGGGGGCAAACACCACCCTTCTGGTGGGAGTCCAAGTGAGGAAGTGCTAGGCAAAGCCGGCCTTGAACCTGTGCGGAGACAGGCCTTGGAGTGCTGTGAGTTCAAGGCCAGTGGACTTGAGGTGTCCATATGTCTTCATGCCTCTTGTCTTCTCACATTTGCTCCTCTGGTAGCATGTTAAGTAATAGCATCACGTGAATTCTGTCTTATGTCACTTTGCATATGCTTATGCTCCTATAGAATGCTTATCTGATGAATAATCTTTTGATTTAGATTTTGAATTTTATGTAGTGTGGTTTTACAAACCAGAGAAATTTCATACACTATACAAATAGTGTAAGATTCCCCAAGATTTAAAAATTAGAGTTAAATGGAATATTTTATAAGATTTATCTTTTCTATTTAGTTTATCTTCCATTTACTATATTTTCTTCCATTTATCTATTATTTATCATTTGTTTATATCCCTACCAATTATGTGTCTAGTCTGCTTGTTTATCATCTGTGCCTGCCTATTTAATCTACCTTCTTTCACTCACCTGTGTCTAATAGGCATTTATCAGTTACCTATCAATCATCTACCATTTACCTATCTCTATTCCTTATTTGTCTACCTATTTATCTTCCTTCCTCCCTCCCTCCCTTCCTTCCTTCCTTCCTTCCTTCCTTCCTTCCTTCCTTCCTTCCTTCCTTCCTTCCTTCCATCCATCCATCCATCCATCCATCCATCCATCCATCCATCCATCCATCCATCCATCGTGTGTTGTCCTGTATTTATCCCTTTAGGTGTGGGAGGCTGTGGCTGTGCCCCTTCCCTCAACCCTGATCTTGTCCTGGAGAGCCAGTCGCATCCAAGTTCTGTGTGCCAGGGGGCGCGCGCGGCCCGGGAGCTGTCCAGAGGCTGAGTTCTGCCGTGCCCTGTCAGTACTGGGGAAGCTCTCCAGCGCCCCGCCCCGGGGGATCTCTCAGCGAGGGCTCCTGGGCTCCCCGTCGGTCTGCAGCTAGCCTCTGCCCCTCTCCATACTTGGTCTAGTCCCTTGGACCTCTGCAGGCTTCTGTGCAATCCTTGGAACGAGTGCCGCACCTGGGCTGACATGGAACAGAGCGCAGGGGCGCACAGGGGCAGTGGGTTCCCTGCTCTGCCCGAGGCGGGCAGGTGCCACGCGTTTTAGCCGCACCCCTGCGGCTGGGGATACCTTTTCTCTTCGCCTGGGAACCCCACCCGGCGCGGAGGGTGAGAACAAGGACCTTCCGGCAACTTGGCACCTTGAGTGTGGATCTTCCGATCCCGAAAGGACGCGGCCTGGCCCGGTCAGCAGGCGCGGAGGGCGGAGGCTGCCGCGGCTTCAGGCTCACTGGGCCAGCTCGGAGCCAAGGAGCCGCGCTGGGGAGGACACACAGCCGGGCCTCTAGCTCCCCTCCTCACCTCCCGCCTTCCACGCCCCCAACCCCCCTCCCCGGGAACCGATCTCAGGCTGAGTGCTCTCGCCATTGTCTGCCTCCACCACAGGTTCGCGCGGCGGCCAGGACCCACGGTGTGGCCGCCCGAGCCGGGCTTTCTGGGGCTTTCCCCTCGCTGCCGGGCGAGCCTCGCGCCGCTTTCATCCGGCTCGGGAGCGAATTTCCCCGCAAGCTCGACCTCCCGGGACCCCTCCCCACCCGCCTCCCCGCCTGCGCCGGCGCTGCGTGGGGGAGGCTGTGCGCATTGGAGGGTCCAAGTTCTCCGCGCGCCGGAGGGGGGCCTCCCTTTCCTTTCTTAGGCGGTCCAATCGTCTTAATCCCGCTAATCAGTAGACGCGAGGCAGCAGCTGGGGAGGCGACGCGTTTCCCGCTGGATTCCCAGAACCTCTTCGGTGTTTCTTTTCTGTTCCAGAGGGAGGCGATGGACTGAGCGGAGCCGCGCCATGGAGTCTCTGGGGTTGCTGAAGACCCTCTGCTGGCTTTGCGCTCTCGGAGCAGGTGCGTGTCGACCCCGCCGCCGACTCAGTTGGTTCTGGGTGGGGGCTTAGAGCAGGGGCGGGGCAGGTCCGCGTTGTCTGCTTGCCCTGGCGATGGCGACTCGGGTCCCACCCTAGCCGGGCTCTGAGGCCCGGGAACTTTGCGCGCGGCGGGCCGTGTGTGTTGAGTCTGGGAGATGGGGCTCGGGGCCCGGCTGCTCTCGGCTTGGCTGCTGCTCGTAGGTAGGCTCTGGGCGAGGAAAAGCCTCCTCGCGTCCTCGGTCCCAGCATTGAGGCTTGTGTCTTGACGCAGCCTTTTCTTTCTTCCTCCTTCCCCATTCCCGCCAGTTTGGGGGCTTGGTGTGGATCCCTCCCTGCAGATTGACGTCTTCACCGAGTTGGAGCTGGGGGAGTCCACGGCCGGAGTGCGCCAGGTGCCGGGGCTGCACAATGGGACCAGAGCCTTCCTCTTTCAAGGTAGGGCACCGCGTGGAGCCCCCTGTGCGCAGGCAGTGCAGCCCGGCGGGGTTCTGGGGGAGGGGGTTGACATTCCGGTTGAAGGCGTCTGAGCGGGATGAACAGGGGTCGCGGGGCACAGACCCACGTCCTTCTCTCGCTGGGATCTTTCGCCCGCATCCTCGCTTGACACTGCTCGCGCGGGGCCGGTGGACAATTTGTTAATGACTGAACACCACTCGGGCAGAGGGTTGGATCTGGAGTCCGGGAAACAATAAAGCGCTGCCCTAACGCCTTCTCTGGGCGGAAGCGGCTTAGGAGCAACCAGGGCCGGCTGCTGGTGGTTGAGTGGTGCTCGCTGCAAGTTGTGGGTGCGCGGCGCCCTGCGGGGATTCCCGAGCCGAGCCTGGAGCGGTCCCCGGCTTCCCGCTGCGAGGCCGTCCCCTTCTCCCCGCAGGGTGCCTCGGAGGGGAGTCACGCGCCCTCCGAGTCCCTCAAGAATATTTCTAGGACTTGAGCGTTTACAAGTCTGCCTCTTGCCATCCTTGATTGCGTACTTAACATCCTAGAACTTGGTTATAGTCATTAGCTGCGCACCGTGTTTAATTTGAAATCACATTTGACTGTGCGTGCAGTCGGAGGGCAGCAACAGGCGCTCCTCATTTCGGCCAGGCTCCCTCGTTGGGCTCCGAGGCAGCCACGCAGGCCGGACGTGAAGCACCGTGCGTAGGGTTCTCGCACCAGCTGGGCCAAGGCCCTCGGCCCCGCCCCACGCAGGTGTTTCTAATAAGGCTTCCTGACTTGCAATGAATTCAGCTGCGGCTTACCGGAGAGTCGGGCTTCACAATAATGCCACGTCGGCGGACACGCGGCCCAGGAAGGGCGACAGCTGCTGGCCGCGTCCCTGTGGGTGTTGTTGCCTGCTGTGGCCGGTGTGTGTCACCCCACAGCAGCCCAGCGTGCGGATGGCAGAGGAGCGTGGAAGGGGTCGCGTTGCTTTAGCACCGGATTGCTGTGGAAAGAATTTCAACGTTATTTTTATGTTTGGGAAACTTGCCTTAAAGATTGTCTTTGTCTCGACATTTATGATGATACAGCATTTAGCTCAAGGTCTTCCATGGAGGTAAGGGGGCATATTGACTCCCGAGGAAACAATGAGCAGACTCTTCAACAGTGTGTCGGCAGAATGTCTCAGAGCTGAGCAGAAGTGTGATGAGGGCTTCCGTGTTTGGCTCTGTGCTGGCTTTGTATCTGGTGGGAGTCCCTGTGAGCTGGACACGGAGTTGTGTGGGGACTGTCAGCTGTCAGTACTCAAGACCCCTGTGCTGGGTCACCAGGTGGTACCATGCGGCTCGGGTCTCCAGGGTGCCTTCCCCTCTTGTCTGCAGAGTGCCTGACAGCACGGACAAACCCCAGGGCCGTGCCTTGGAGGAGCAGCACCTTCACCCGGTGCACTTTTGGAAGTGGTAATAAGTGTTTAAATGCCATGCTTCTCCTTGGTAGGCATTGTGAAACACAGTAACTGGATTATCCGCGTGACCAGATGACATGAGGAACCGGCTGTTTCTGTTGATGTCAAATCTGACATTCAGACAGAGGACATGCTTGCCAGGGGGGTTTGTGATATGCAGAGATGTACAATTCCTGAAAAGTTGTGAACTTTACCTGCTGTAGCCATTCGCTGAGAAAGCACTGCGTCCGAGTTCCCAGTGGGTACACCGTTGTGATATGCTCCCCGAGGTCAGCTGTCCCAGGGCTGTGGGGTCGGCAACAGTCAGGCCTTGTCTTTGCAGAGAGGGAGATGCTGTGAAAGCCCTGCCTTTGCAGCTGGTGTCTGTAGTGAATTGAGGTGTGTGAGATGTCAGGGCAGGAATAGTAACACATTGCAGAGCCTAGAAGATGTTGTCAGCTTCCTCGTGCACGTGGCCTGATCTGTTCTAAAAGGGTAGAGGTCGGCTGGCCGGCCCTCTGCTCCTGTGGTGACCTGCCCTTGCTCCGCCCTCAGCTGGGCCACCAGGACACTCCCAAGCACTTCTTGAGCTTAACGTCTACTTCTCCTTCAACCATGTCATTTTTGCTCTAGTGATTTTTAAAATACATACAATTCAGCACTCTTTGGAGCGGTTAGTACATTTTGCAAATTATCTTGAAAGATCTATCATTGGACATGTTCTGCTACATATGTATGATAAGAAATATCTGAAAGTCATTTTTTTTTTTTATCATGATAGCACTTATAGCATCACTCACATGACTTTGTTGCTGTGGAACTTGATTTGTAACTCTTTGGAAATTTGAACAGCAAGATGCTAGATTAGATTGCCTCTTAACAAATGTGGCTTTTGATTTGTGACAGTTGCAAAAATTTTCGAAAGAAGAAAGTGTCCAAACAATAGCTTGAAATCTACATCAAGATCTTTGAGTCATTTCTAGCTGTGTTATGACTCATATCCACAAAAATATACTTATTAGGCTTTAAAAAAATGGAAGAATGAAAGATGAAAAGTTCCTATATGAAAGGTTATAATGAGAACCAGTGCAATTATATGTGGAATTGTACCTGCTTTAAAGTCTAGGACCCTAAGGTTCTTCTCCCTGTGTGCTACAGATCAGGCAGGGTGCGTCACAGAGGCAGCGTCCTAGGGCTCTGTAGGATCCTTGTGTGATTTTTACATCTTCTATTTAACAGTTCATCTTTGCCAGATTCTCAAAATGGAGAATCTCCTCAGTCGGTTTAGTAGAATTTCTTCTGAAGTTTTCTCTCAGATTTTATATGATAAAATAAGAGCATATTTTTTCCTGAGTTGATAGCTTGAAAGTAAGCATAGCAAGTATTTTTCTAGAACTGTAAGATTTAAAAGGACACTCTGATGTGGTGTTGAGCACAGACCTTAGTGAGGCCTCTGCAGGCGCTAGTGACTGAAGGACGTGTGAGAATGCGCAGTGGCTGCCAGTGGCTAACCATGTGGTGGTCAGCAGCACCTGGGAGCTTAGGCGGGACTCAGGTGTCCCTGGCACCCCCACAGAACAGACAGTAGCTAAGAGATGGGCCAGGTGGAAGATCACTGATTCTGTTCCCAAGGGAAAGTTGCTTATTTTTTTTAAAGATTTATTTTATTTTTATTGGAAAATCAGATATACAGAGAGGAGGAGAGACAGAGATGAAGATCTGTCTGTTGATTCTCTCCGCAGACGGCCACAATGGCTGGAGCTGAGCCAATCTGAAACCAGGAGCCTTTTCTGGGTCTCTCACACGGGTGCAGGGTCACAAGTCTTTAGGCTGTCCTCCACCAGGATTAGAACCAATGCCTGTATGAATTCCTGGCATGGACAATGCAAGGACTTTAGCCACTAGGCTGATGTGCCACACCCTGAAATTGCCTGGTTTTGCTGAGCTTCAGTGCCCAAAACAATTCTAATGGGAACCTTGTAGGGTGATTAAATGAGTTCTGCTGATTTCTTCACTCAAGCAAGTTGTTGTGGAGTTCCTTTACTGTTGGTGTTAGGCATAAAGCAATAGTACCTTGAAGTAGCCATTTGTGATTACGGTTAAAACATCTATGGAGAACAGAGTGTGAAAGGCATCTTCCTTCCAGCTGGGGAGTCCCAGGGTGTGTCTCAGTCGTCTGGAGGCTTAGGGATCAAAGCAGCACAGGCAGGACCGAGGTCCCAAGCTGGCATGGGATGGTGTGCTTGAGGAGATGGAGTGGATGCAGAGGATTGGGATAGGACAGGAAGCCGAGGAGTGAGCCGGGGCTGTGTGCAGCGGAGCATCATGTTAATACAGTGAGGTTGAAAATGGATTTCTGTGCAAAGGACAGAATAATGATCCCTAGAGAGGTCCACGCTGTGGCTGTTGGATGTGCAGTGTATGTGATGCTGCCTGACAAGAGGGAAACAGGGTTGTTGATCAGGGATGCTCCATATAGGTAAGCGACCATGGGTGGTCTGGGTGAGATGTGTGTTCACATGGATCTTTTAGTTCTGAATAGAGATGTAGTAAAGTCAATGTGAGTGATGTGATACAAGAAGGACTAGGTTGGCAATTGCTGGTGTCTGTCTGTCTGTCTGTCTATGAGAGAGACAGAGACAAAGACAGAGACAGACACCGACTGACCAACCCAGAGATCAAGACTGGATTCATGCAGTGGCTGGGACTGAAGCTGGGAGTTGCTCACTTGGGCGGGTGACAGGAAGTACACTGCATTCAACAGCTGGAGTTGTATGCTCTGGTGTGGCATGCAAGTGTCATAACCATGAAGCCAAGCATTCACTCCTGTGGCTGGCTTGGAGGATGAAAATGGGCTGGTAGCCCAGGAGTGCCAGCTGTCCAGAGAGGCTGGAAAAGGAGGGAAGAAGTATTGCCTCGGAGTCTCTAGAAGGAACCAAGGGCTTCTGGCATTGTCCTGTGGAAGTTGTTTGGACTGTGAGATCTCAAATCTGTGTCACTGGGAGTGCAGCAGCAGTTGGACTCTCGTAGGGGAGTCATGAATGGAAGGCATCAGTGAAGTGGCTGAAGTTGTGGAGTGCTTTTGGTATTGGGCATTGAGCAGATGTGGGAATGATTTTGAGGTTCCACAATAGTAGGAAAATCTAGATTGATATGAAGCAACTTTATTCTTAAACAAATATGGCTGTTGAAGACTGCTCATGTGATTTGGAAAAAAAGGGAAAGAAGTAGTAGAAAAAATTGGAGTCACCTCAGAGGGCACCTCGGGCACCTTGAAGGTTGCTGGAGGACTTGTGACCACTGACAGCATGACCAATAGTGGGCTCAGATGAAAATGAACAGCTTGTTTGTGTAAATTGGAGATGAAGAGTCCTGTGGTAGTTTTGAAGGCAACACTTTGCAAATGGTTAGCTTGGACAGTTAGCTGTGATCTTCACTCGAAGGTGCCCTCTGGCTTTGTCACATTGCCAGAGGCAAAATATGTGAGAATGGAGACTAAGGGAAGGACAGTTAGGCAGGAAGGATCCAGAGTCTCTCCAGCTTAGAATGTGCTTGTTAACATCAGGCACAC